ACACACACACACTTTGACACACACACACACACACTTTGACACACACACACACACTTTGACACACACACACACACTTTGACACACACACACACTTTGACACACACACTTTGACACACACACACACACACGCATATGCTACAGCTGGGTGCTGGCAATCGTGCCTCGTCATGCGACATCTGGCGGCGCAAGTCATCCAGCTTTGCTTTGGTTTCTGCTCCTTGCACAGGGCTGATAATCAAAAGGTTGCCACTGCTGGGAATTGCCGAGAATTCCCCCGCTCGCCCCTCGCAATTTTATCTTGCCTAGACCTGAAACCTGCATGAAAGTTGCACATCCGGCAACCAGACTGATTTTGGCCCCCCCCCACCCCACCCCACCCCACCCACCCACCCCACATCCCGCCCACCCCCCCCCCCCCCAAGCGCCTGCCCGCGCCAGCACCGCCGCCGCCTTGGCCGAGGCCTCCATGACCCGCAGCAGCGGCGCCGGCAGCTCCCGCGAGGCTTTGAGCGGCGGCGCCGGCAGCTCGGACCCCGCCTCCACGGCCCGGGCGATGGCCTGGGCCCAGGCCTCCCAGTCCTCGGAGAGGCGATTTTTTCCGGCGGTTGGGGGGGGGGGGAATCAAAGGCTCCAAACATGGGGTATGACTAGGGAAACCGCCGGAAAGAGGAGATGTGCCTCAGGAAATGGGCAAAAGTTACGCATAGTCGTTCTGGGGGCAGGAATACTGATTAACCCCCATGTTTAAGAAGATAGCAGTGCAAAAAAAGTGCAAACATGTATTGAATACGAGCATATCCTCTGAAACACCAAGTAGCCTGGCATGCCTTCCACGCAGACTCCTCTGCAGCGCTCAGCGTCGCTGCTGTGGAGGCTGTGGACTGGGTGGACTCACAGTACACGGCACGGCGGAGACCCTTGTGGCTGGACGACGAGGCTAGAGACGACACCTCCCAGTCATGGTCATCGCGCTGGCTGGAGCTCGTCTGGACACCGGAGAGGCTCCTGCCCGCGCCATGGCCGCCATGGCCGCCATGGCCGTGGGTTCTGGTTGCGCCCTCTGTGCGGCGCTGGCCCCGGGGCGTCAGCTCCCGAGCCTCGGCACGGGCCCGGGGCGTCAGCTCCCGCTGGGGCTCGGGACGAGCCGCCCTCGCCTCGCGGGCCTTCGGCTTCGAGGTCGACCGGCCCTCGGACTGCGAAGGCGTCCGCCGCCGCGCTTCGGCCATGCAAGGCGCCAACCGGAAAAGCGAAGGGAAAGATGGCTCTGCTAAGTAACGCCTGCAACAAGTTTCGTGAAGCTGATGAATGGTGAATGGCATGAGGCCAGATCTGAAGCCACGTGCGGGAGCGCGCATCCCTCCCATGCCATCATCCCTCCTATCAGGCTCAACCACATGCCGCAGGCACGAGCTGGGGCTGCCGCCCTCTGGCACAGCCTGAGGCCACACAAACCATGCAGGCCCATGGGCATCCGCATCATGTGCCGCACCCCCGGTGAATGGTGTTCCACAAGAAACCAAAAGGACTTCGCGCATGCGGACGCACTCGAGCTCTTGGTTTGCTGGTCGGGTACACTGCAAATCAACCTGCATCCAAAACGTCCTGCAGTCTTTGACCACTTTGCGGATGTTTAGAAAGGTATATAAGCCAAGAGCAAAGCACCCTTTCTGGGACACATCCATCGAATCTACGGCGCGGTTAGGCATTCCCCTCTCCTGCATTGTCTGGAATCCAAAGAACACAAGACCTGGAGGTTGAACGCGTTTCTTGCCCTGTTCGAGAAGCTCAAGAGCTGACTTACCCAGGTCCAACTAAGTGCTAAAATCTGGTTTAAAGAAAAACTGCAAAATGGCGTACCCTTCAAGATGTTCAGTTTAAGAGACACAGTCTAACTCATGTCTTTCAGCAACCCGCACCGAGCCCCGAGCAAGGCGCTTCGTCCAAAGAGCTTCCAGCCGCTGAATGGCCTGAAGGCAATTCAATGGGCAGCGTGCCCCACAAAAAAGGTCAATGACTCAACTGCAAATGAAAACAGCATCCGATTCTGCTTTTTTGCTCGGAGCAGAAGGGAAGACTGGAAAGACTTCTCTATGTCTTGCCGACCTGCGACGAGACCTCGCGCCTTCTTGTAGCGGGAGGTTGCGGCAGCCCGCGCGTCCAACCTAGCCGAAAGACGACGGCTTCCAGGTGTGAGGCTGCGCGTTGAAGCGGGGCAGGGCTGAAAGTTGGGAAGAGCTGCCCTTGGGATTGTGGGTTCTGGATTGTCACACGCCAATGTCATGTTCTTTGTCAGGATGGTTTAGGCTACCCAGGTTCACTACTCACATGCCGACCCACAACCTTTCTCTGACCTACTTGATTTGTCAATCGCTTCGTTACAACCGGAAGACATAACAAAACCCTGCATGAGGTAGATGTACCCCCAAAATAACATACCAATATGAGGCATTACACAGTGCCACTGCTAGTTAAGCTCGGGAATGCCCATACAAAGCCTTGAGCCAAGGACAAATGGGAAAGTTGGGTGGTCCCTTGTCAAACCAACAAAAGCCCATCGCATTCCAATTTTCTCATGGCATTCTGCGGCTCCGCTCATTTCAGGCCGGGCACCCGAACAGCAAAGCCAGTGCGCGTGCAGGGCGTGTAGTCGGCGGCACCTCACGGCCGATCCTTTCGGCTGGAAAGGGGACTTGTGGTTCTTGGGCGACTTGTCAACTGGGCGTGCAGGTCGACAAAGTGTCAATCCCTTTCAGGCGAGAAACTCCAGCGTTTTGCTTGCCAGGTTTCGGTCCCAGCCTCTGGCATGGCTGTGACCTGCGCCCGTTCCAAGGCACCAGCCATCTTTCAAAAACCCGAAAAAAAAAACAAATCACCCTGTTCCATCTTTGACCGGACGGCATCTTTCTCAAAGGCCCTTAGGACAGCCGTCACTCAAACCTTTTCCACTCGCTCCCATTGCACATTCCCTGCCTCAACCCCCTGAGAGTGCCTGCGGCTCGGTACCGGAGACAACAGCGCCAGCACCACTTCCAGCTCCAGGGACCTCAGTGCAACAAGTCATCCAAAGCCACACTGGACATATGGCCATGGGTCACAATCCCGGTTAGCCCCAAGTGAACATCCCAATCCAACCACCAAAATAGGTTCTAAAATGGGTGGTGAATTCACCTACCCCAAAATGGTACCATGGGTTTTGACCCACAGCCATATCCCCAGGTCAGTCATCACTGCGAAACTCAAGGGTGAAACAAGGACTGCAGGATGGCCCATAGCTCTGGCTCTCAGCTCCTCCAAGATGACACGCGCAAGTCATGAGGAATGCCAGCCTCAAGAAGTTGCCGGGGGCGCAGCACAAAGGAAGACTCGCAGTCACTGACTCCAACACTCAAAAGAAGAGTGCCGGAAGTGTCCTGCAGTAAGTAAAGCCCCGCAGCAACAAGTCAGCATGTGATTAGGCCCAGTGAGACCAGCCAAACCCATGCACTCGGCGCGCAAGGATTCGCAAATGACTGGGCCACTTGCAAACGAAAACGAGTCGATGTCCTGGGGCAGTAGAACCATTCCTGGCAGAAGCAGCCTACCCTTGCATGCGGTAGCCTTCATGCTCTCCCGCGCCTGAGACAAACTGCAAGGTCTCGCAGCCGGGCCCCAGTGAGCTCTGCCAGGCCTGGCCTTCCGGAGTCTTCGCCCGCCCCACCCGAGGTCCCGTTTTCGGCACGAGCTCCGGCGCGTGAATGCCCCGGCCTGCGCCCAAGAAATGGAAGCAGAGCTCCGGGGAGATGGCGAGCACCTGGCGGAGTCGTAACGCCCCTCCTTTCGCTCGCTTCGCTCCACTGGCCTCATATGGCGGCTTCTCACTGGCGACATAGAAGCGGTGCAAGAAGACGTAGCGATTGAACCTCAATCCCATGGCAGAAAAACTCCCCCCCTCTGGCGACACTCAGAATCTCCCGCGATTCAATCGCTGGCATCAATGCAGCAGCCTGTGCAACATCTAGATGTGAACCAAGATGTTCCCCCCCCCCCTCCCCCACCGCGCCCTCGCCATGAGTCTTCCTCTCCCATCAGGAACCACTGATTCGCAATTTTTCGGCCGGTGGCCACTGCGCCGATTTTTGCCGCCAGTCGCGATGCGCGGAGCGGCGCCGTCAGAGCTTTGACTCCAGCAACATCTTGGTGTGTTGACCGGTGAACCTCGCTCCGATGCGTCGACTGTAAGTCGTTTTAAGGTCATTGCAACTCGGTCGGATGGGCGTCAAAAGTCAGAAAAGCCAAAACATGCTGCGAAAGTTCCCCAGGCTTCGCCAGCTTGGGGGTGAAACGGGGTCGCCTGCCACCAATCGGAACCACTGAGGCCGGCACACGATGCGGTCGCCCACCTTTATGGTCCTGAGCTGTATGCTTCGCAGCTCACCCCCCAGAGCTGCTGCTACAAGATGGAGCTTTCCGACATCTTGGTTTGGAACGCGGAACCTCAAAGAAAACCCGTGGGCGCAACGATGAGAATCGAGGCGTTCCAGTACTCAGCTTTGCAAGGCGAAAGACTCGTTGGAATGCTTGTGGCCTTACTGCCTCACAAAAGGTCCCAGAAGTCTTTTTGGTCGTTGGAAATCCAGTTGTACTCGAACAAACATCCGAATGTCGCTGGACGAGAGGTCCACAGGAAGGCGGCCACATGAGGTCCTTTGAAAACCCCCAAACGTGGAAGATAACGCGCGAGTGATTTGTTTGGGCTAGACCAATCAACCTTTAGGCAAAGTTCCAAACCTCACCCTACTGCAAGCTATGTTGGTCAGCATGCATCGGCCCAGACCAAGTCGAGGCTCATGGCCGTGTAGGCCAAGGTCTTTCCAGCCTGAGGGCTTTTTCGACGCGCATGGCTTGCCCTCTTTGGGGGGCGATGCTAAGACAAATGCATTAGAAACCAATCTCCTGCCACAGCAGTGGAAGTGAACAGACAGTATTCGACTCGTGTCCAAGGGGGGATGGTCCCCGGTACTTTGGGCGGGCCCTTCCTCAAAGCTGACGACACACCAGAAAGTATTCGGAGATGCTCCTTTGTTCACAATGTGGTGAGCGTTCCGCTCCGTACCGTGCCTTCTCAATCACGCAATCAATGGTCAGCTCGTCGTTGAGCCTGGCAGCGCCTAGATACTGTCCTGAGCAGGGGGTGCAACTGCAGGCAGAAAAGGCTATGCCATGTTCTTAAACACCATGCAATGGGTCTTCCAAAAATGGGGTAATTGCTGGATGGGCACCAAGTCCAACCAATTCATTTTGCCGCCTGCCATGTTGACGGACACGGATGTCTTGGGCGACCTCTGGAGAAGTGCCACGGTCGTGAGCACGTCCAGCAGCAGCATAGCGAAGGCACCATGCATGGTCTGCAGTGCGTTGACATGCTCAGGACCTACCTGGCCAGACCGGGTGTCGCCTTCAAACCAACCCAAAAGCATCCTGCGTCACAATTTCCACACGCCACACACACACACACACAAAACAAACAAAATGGCACAGAACAACACAAATCCTCTGCTCTCTGCTCTCTGCTCACAGCTCACCGGTCTTTTCCCACCTGTCTCCTGACTGCTCTCACTGCTCTCACTGCTCTCACTGCTCTCACTGCTCTCACTGCTCTCGCTGCTCTCGCTGCTCTCGCTGCTCTCACTGCTCTCACTGCTCTCACTGCTCTCACTGCTCTCACTGCTCTCACTGCTCTCACTGCTCTCACTGCTCTCGCTGCTCTCGCTGCTCTCGCTGCTCTCCTGCTCTCGCTGCTCTCACTGCTCTCACTGCTCTCACTGCTCTCACTGCTCTCACTGCTCTCACTGCTCTCACTGCTCTCGCTGCTCTCGCTGCTCTCGCTGCTCTCGCTGCTCTCGCTGCTCTCACTGCTCTCTCACTGCTCTCTCACTGCTCTCTCACTGCTCTCACTGCTCTCTCACTGCTCTCACTGCTCTCACTGCTCTCACTGCTCTCACTGCTCTCACTGCTCTCACTGCTCTCACTGCTCTCGCTGCTCTCGCTGCTCTCGCTGCTCTCCCTGCTCTCACTGCTCTCACCGCTCTCACTGCTCTCACTGCTCTCACTGCTCTCGCTGCTCTCACTGCTCTCACTTTCTCTCACTGCTCTCACTGCTCTCACTGCTCTCGCTGCTCTCCCCTTGCTCTCTCGCTGCTCTCACTGCTCTCACTGCTCTCACTGCTCTCACTGCTCTCACTGCTCTCACTGCTCTCACTGCTCTCACTGCTCTCCACTGCTCTCCTGCTCTCACTGCTCTCACTGCTCTCGCTGCTCTCACCGCTCTCACTGCTCTCACTGCTCTCACTGCTCTCTCTGCTCTCGCTGCTCTCGCTGCTCTCGCTGCTCTCGCTGCTCTCACTGCTCTCTCACTGCTCTCACTGCTCTCACTGCTCTCGCTCTCACTGCTCTCTCACTGCTCTCACTCTGCTCTCACTGCTCTCACTGCTCTCACTGCTCTCACTGCTCTCACTGCTCTCACTGCTCTCACTGCTCTCACTGCTCTCACTGCTCTCACTGCTCTCACTGCTCTCACTGCTCTCACTGCTCTCACTGCTCTCAGCTGCTCTCGCCTGCTCTCGCTGCTCTCACTGCTCTCACTGCTCTCACTGGCTCCTCACTGCTCATCGCTGCCTCGCTGCTCTCAGCAGCTCCCTCAGCTGCTCTCGTGCTTCTCACTGCTCTCTCACGCTCTCAACTGCTCTCACTGCTCTCACTGGCTACTCTCACGCTCTCACTGCTCGCTCCCTACTGCCTCACTACAAACTGCTCTCACTGCTCTCACTGCTCTCAACGGCTCTCGCTGCTCTCGCTGCTCTCGCTGCTCTCCCTGCTCTCACTGCTCTCACCGCTCTCACTGCTCTCACTGCTCTCACTGCTCTCTCTGCTCTCGCTGCTCTCGCTGCTCTCACTGCTCTCGCTGCTCTCACTGCTCTCACTGCTCTCACCGCTCTCTCTCTCTATCTCTCTATCTCTCTATCTCTCTATCTCTGCTTCTCACGTGGGAAAGAGTTCAAACCCGGCGCTCGCGTTGGCTTCTTGGACTACGAGCTCTCGCGCCTTCGCGCGGAAGACCATGCGCGACGGCTCCTTCGCCGCCACCACCACCTCCTTCAGCTCCTCCCAGCCGAAGCCTCGCGCAGGGGGGGGCGAGGTCGGTGAACCGAAGAGGAGGGGTTCCCTTGGCCAGCAACGAAAGGGAAGAGGATCGCGGGCCCGGGAAGTGGATAAAAAGCCCCAAAAAACAGGTTGCAGCACACCCAAAGCCCAGCATGAATGTTCCGCTGCATGTTCAAATTCATGAACGGGCACATGCCACACCATGGCGCATTTTCTGGCGCCTCCAGTCCAGTCCACATCGCCAAGCTTCGCCCCGACGTCCAGCACCATAGGACACACGTAGCTAAGAGCAGTCTCTACGGTTGGATGTGAGTCAAAACGAGCACCTCTTTGGCGGATCCAAAACACAGGTGGAGTGGTCCATATTTGTTTTCTCTTTTCTTTTGCGGATCCAAAAAACACACTTGGAGTGGTCCATTTGCTTTTTTTGACAACCTTCCGCGACTGGGATGCGCTGTGAAGGAGGAATGCCCCAAATGCCAGGGGGCCTCAGCACATCAAGCAATCTATCTCATGCCCATTGGAAGACTAAGACTGTGTACTTTGTACGTGCGTCTTCCAGTCAAGATCGCTGAGTTGGTGAGCTACTGGCGTCGTCGAGGGCTGGCGTGTGTTGCAAGGACTGCAGGATGCGGCCTTCAAGCTCCTATCTTGCAGAACTCATGTCTCAGCTGTGTCTCTACCTTGAGGCAAGCGTCGGATTGAAAGACGCGGGCCACTGCACTGCGGGTGCTCCGTATCTTCCGGGGTAGCTCGCCAACGCCTGGCCTCGGAGCCTGAAGCTACCGCGCAGTGCTGAGCATCCGGCTTGATATGAGCAACGCCCAGGGATACCTACCATCCACCATCTCGTCTGGGAATCAATTGAGGAACCGAATGCACTCTAAAGGATGTGTTCCCCTCTGAAGGATACTTGTCCCCACAGCGTTCCAAGCCAACCGCTTGCTTGTTTGGGTATGCACCAGTTCCACTCCAAAGAGAAGGAGCACTGCGAGTTCCGTGAGGCTGTGCCAAACTTAGCGAGTGCGAAAGAACCCGCACAGGAAAGAAGGACAATGCCAGTAGGCCTGGTCTTATGCTGCCCGAGCAACATTGCGTTGCTCCATACCATTTGCAATGCCATTAGAACGAGTCCAAACCTGGTTCCACCGGTCACCAACACACCGCGCCCGCCTGCGAGCCTCGCCAATCGAGGGGCACGCAGCAAAATCCTGCGCCAACCTTCTAGTACCGGGGTCAATGCTGTTTGGGTGGTTGTGTTTGTGCTTGTGCTTGTATTTGTGTGTGTGTGTGGCAAAACAAGGGACCTGTGTTGAGACGGGATTTTGTGGGGCCCATGAAACTCCAAGTATTTCAAGAGGTCCTGGGTTGATAAATGGCAGGTGCAAGCCTGCGGTTTCTCCTGGAAACCACTTGGCTCTGCAAAGCATGCGCCCGGGCAATGAAGAAAAATCAGTCCAGCCCAGACACGGGCAGCAGTCGAACCCCCTGCCGCCTGTGTTTTTCCCGAACAAACCACAGACCAAGCGGATCCCCGGCTCCTCCGCGGTAGAAATACTGCGAGCTGGGCAGCAGGGGCATGCTGGGTGTCTCGCTGGACGCCACCTACGGCCGGAAATCGCCAAGCTCGACCATGCCACACTCCCTTTTTCTTTGGCATGGCAATGTTCAAACTGGAATTCACGTCGACCACCTTCGTAAACAAAACCCAGGGCCGGCAGGAGCGGCCTCCAGCCAAAGCCCGGACACTAGGTCCACCTGAACCGCTGAAAGGATCGGAGATTCGACCAGATCTGACAAACCAATCAGCATGTCAAACACCTCCTTGCGGAAGCTTCGCAAACTTGGTGTGCTCGGCGCGGCAAAAACGAAACCGTGCTCTTGTTGTGCAACTGCCCATAAAAGAGCAAAAGAAACCAGAGCCCAAAAACAACACAAAGAACATGCCCATAAAAAACGCTTGAAAATTGTGGGTGGCCAACTCATGGCTCTGGCCTGGAGCAGCACGCGGGGATTCACGGAGAACTCCACCAAAGCAGCCCCCTGAAAACCCCCCCCCCCGATAAGGGGGTGGGGGGTCTGGGGATGTGTCGCAAGGACGAAAATCTGGGGAGGCCTTCAAATGTGGTTCGTTTTGTTGAGCCGGTCATTTGGCAGGTGACTTTTTTCACGCTCCCAAAACAAGATTTGAAGGGCACTCCAAAAGGGGCCTCAAGGCATGCCCTGTGACTGGTGGTTGTTACAAACCCTAATCTGCTATTGGAAAGCTTGCCTGGGTTTGACCCGCATGATTTGTGCCAAACCTGGCAGGTCGTCTGAAAAATGGTGTGTCACCATCTCTTTAGGCCATCCAAAGTGCTCAAGTTGAGCTCCTCCCACGCACAAAACATATCAGATCGAAGCGACAGACCGCTCAGCCTGCGACAGCCGCGCGATGTTCAAGTTCTTGAAGGCTTGCTGCTGCCGATGCTCCTTCCGCGTCAAGGCCTGCACACAGTCGCATGCGGAACTCGTGGCGAACTCATGGAGTTAAACACAAATCTCCTGGCACATGGGCATGCAAATGTTCTGTCCAGCACTGCAAAAAAATTGGGGATCTCCGCACCAGACCTGCGGCGGGGGGGGGGGGGGGTTGGCTTTTCTGTCCCTGTCTTCTGAGTATCCTTGGGGGTTTAGCAGGCCCTCTGGAATTGCAACGTCTGTTCTGGCGATCGACTCTTTTCAACCGCCCCCCTCTCAGAACAAGGCAAACTGCTTCCGGGCTGACCCAAAGATCTGGTTCTTGTCCACCTTGACCACGTTGAAGCGCACCGTCTTGGCCAAAGGCCTGCACTGGCCCACGGTGATGATGTCACCTTCCTTGGGCTCGAAGGCGGGGGAGCAGTGCACCGCGATGTTGTTGTGCCTCTTCTCAAAGCGGTTGAACTTCTTGATGTAGTGCAGGTAGTTGCGCCGGATGATGATGGTCCGCTTCATCTTGGTGCTCACGCACATGCCCTTCAGGATGGCCCCGCGGATGCTCACGTTCCCGGTGAAGGGGCACTTCTTGTCCACGAAGTTGCCCTCCTTGGCCTCCTTGGGCGTAGGGAAGCCAAGGCCCACAGAGCGCCAGTACCGCACCGCCTTCTTGGACTTCTTGGTCAACAACCGCTTGGCGCCGATGAAGACGGCGTCCTGCTTCTGAAACGCCTTCTCGGTCTGATCCATGGCGGCGTCTTTTGGCCTTTGGGTCTATCGTTTCGAGCTGGGAGGCGGCACTTGGTATGTGCATGATCAGAATGAGAAGCAGGTCACACGGCAGTCTGAACTGAGAGGCTTGACCCAGGTATCCGTATGTGTTGACCATCTATCTCAGAATTGGTCTGCTTGGAAAGCTGGAAGTCAGCGTTTGTAGGGTTTGAAGACATGGCTCCGCAGACGTTCCCGTACTTGGGTACCAAAGGAGCACCAAAATCCGCTTGGGATTTCTTAGTTCTTCCAGACTTCGTACTCAAAAACTGGTACCCAAGATGGCACCTTGGCATATGAAAACAAATACTAAAACCTGCGCAACCCCACAGCAAAAAACGGTGTTTTGTTTGCAAGAGCTCAGGGAAACAAGTGGCTTTCAGCACGTCCCTTTGGGCGCCCTCCCGCAGAACGGCCCATCCAGCCTGCGGCGTCAGCTCCAGCACAGACTCTTCATCAATCCATGCAGCCTGGGCAAAAAGCAGTGGGTCGACCACTCAACCTGTGCTCTTCTTTTTAAGGGAAATTTTGTAGTTTCCCTGTGGGTTCCGCTTTAAAACCACACAAACGAGGCACTCTCAAAGGGCTGAAGACCGTGGCTATCAACTCGGATGTCGACCCCGCCCCTGTCCTTGGCTTCTCCTTGGGCACCCGAGCAGTGCGGCAGCCGGCAGCTCCCCGACACAGGCCTGCCAACAAATCCGAAACGTTGGAACTTGATATGGTTGTGGGTCAAAACCCTGTACCGCTGGTGAACATCAAAATAGGTGGCAAATGGATGTGCATCAACCCCAAAATGGAGCCATTGGTTCTGCCCCATGGCCATATTATGCCAACTCACCCCGGCACCATCCCAAACCAAACCGGAGCCCCGCGCGCAGCCCCAGCCGCGCCAGGAAGGCGGTGCGGAAGCTGAACCTTCGGCACGGTGCCGGCGGCGGCGGCGGCGGCGGTGGTGGTGGTGGTGGTGGTGGCGGCGGAGGCGGCGGCGGCGGCGGCGGTGGTGGTGGCTGTGGCGGGCTGTGGCGGTTACTGTGTTGCTGTTGGGCAGTCGTTCTTTTTGACGGAGTGTCCAACTGCACGCCGACTTGATACCTCAGCCCGCCACGAAATCCAATACTCGTCTTCTGCACGATAGACTCTCAAATCCTTGGTGCCAATGAGCCTCGTCGCTCCAATGTCTCCCACTCTCCAGACATGTTCAGGCCACATATAGTCTTGCCCCTACAACTAAACCCAATTCGGAGAGAACCTGGAAGGAACAGGCTCCCCAGCATTCCCCCCCCCCCCACCCACAGGCCTCCGGCCCCTCTATGGCGCGCTCTGCAAGCACCTGCCCTCCTTGGACCTCACGAAACTCCAAGCCGGGCTCCACGGTCAGACAACCGCAGCCTTTAGGGGGATGACCGTCCCTCTTAACCCTGAACAACCATTTGTTCTGACCGTGGCACATGTGATTTTCGTCGTCCCCAACTAAAAAAGGAGTAAATGTTGAGTCCTCGTCGTCCATCACTCATATGGGGCCCGAGCTATCGCCGAAACTTCGCTCAAAAACAGAGGGTCTCCCTTGAAGTGCTTTCTGCTTCCTGCTGCTTCCTGCTGCTTCCCTGCCGCTTCCCTGCTGCTTCCCTGCTGCTTCCCTGCTGCTTCCTTGCTGCTGCCCTGCGCCCTACTGCTTCCCTGCTGCTTCCCTGCAAAAACACCTGTGGTCCCCTGGTGGTTTGATTTTGACCCACACCCAACTGACTTTGGGACTGATCCAAAACCCATGGCCTCCCGACCCCAAATTTCCCCGACGCCTCCTGGAAGCGCGCGGAGAAGCGGGGCTTGGGGAAGTCCACGGCGGCGGCCTGTCCATGCAGATTGGCTCATCCCAAAACCGGCGAAATGCACGTGGAGTCACATATGATTCCTGTGCGCCCGCTTCGCCTCCAGGACTTGCAAATCCTCTGTGAGCAGCGCAACCATGGGCCTGTTGTACTGCTGGGCCTGCCCAGGAAAGCCTCAATCTTCCAATGTCTCCTTCCTCCAGCAAAAAGCAATGGAGGTTTTGTGTAACATCCACGTGGGTGTCGTGACTCGCTTACGCGACATGGGTTAGGACCAAAGCTAGGATAAACCCCCAGCCCGCCTGCACCTTGTGATGAGGCACCTGAGCGATTTGGTTGAGGCTTTAAATGGAACCCGACGTGTGACGGCGTTTGAAGGTCGCCTTCAAAAACACCCTTTTGGTTGCCCTGTCAGAGTCCATTTTCCACATGGGTGTGGCTCAAAATTAAGCAGCAGGGATTACGCAGGTCTTATTCTTTGATTCCATTTACCAAGGTGTCATTTTGGCACATTCTTCTGAGCCACAGCCACATCTGCGGTCCCGGCATGCGACCAGTTGCCATCCCAGCCCGAGTGCGGGCAGTACTGCCTCGGAAAGTCTCGGAAAACCGCGTTTTCCCCCAGCTGTCCAATTGTGATGCAGACTGGTGCAGCACTCGGGTGGTGAAAACCCGGTGGAACCGCCCTCCGCCCAAGGCCCACCTTCACTCGCAACGGCCCGGACCAGTTGGAGGCCCGGAAGACCGCCAGCAGGCCGCCCTCCGCTGCCGCCAGGGAGGGGTTGTACAAACCCAGGCCGAAGCGCCGGGCCTCCTTCCCACACGCTCACCGTCCGAAGGACGTGGGGCCAAACATCTGCGCCCAAAGGGGTGCAATCCTGAACACTCTGTGCAGCCAAGCGTGCATGCCCGTAAAGAAGCATGCAATGTGGGTGCCGCTACCAAGCACGAAGGCCCGACTCCAGTATACAGTGTCGACAAGGTCAAACGTGCACCACAACAGCACGGCAGTTAGCAACGCCACAACAGGATTTTGGAACAAAAGCGAAACATTGGGCTGAAATGAACAACTGTGCTCAGCCTGCGCATCCAAGAGAATACAGGACTGGAAGACAACGGTTTCCCATCAACTTGCGATACTAGCACTATGCAGCTTGACAAGACGCAATGAAAACAATCTGTGCGCTGAGACAGCGGTACATGAGCCCACCAAGACTGCAGCACCAGGGACACCTCAATGCGAACAAACTCAAAAAATGAATGTTACACGAGCGGAGCTATTGCGCAAAAGCGTGAGCAAGCGACGGCACATTGCTTCGTGATACGCGAGCCATCCACACAGAACAGGGCTAGGCAAAACCACAAACCAACTGTGCACACCAGAACCTCTCAATTGTGTGCACCACTGAGCCCCGAATCAGCAATGTGTCACCCATGTCAGCCGCATCTTTGCAGCCATGCCAGGGAAAATGGACAGTTGCTCACGTGCTTCGAACATCAGGAACTTCGCAGATGGTGAATTCTGTGCATTCCACGGACCGCACGGCATAAAAAACTGTTGACACCCTGGCCCTGGCTCCTTGTTGGGGAACAGGCTCTCCCAGGATAGGTCTGCCTGACAAGCAAACCATATGACAGGTGATGGCGTCTTGGCACTAGGCTCACATTTTCTTCGCCGGGCCTTGGCAGCGATCGTCTCCATCCCAATCCTGTCACGCTTCGACGTTTGGAGTGAAGCACCAAAAGCAACTATTGGGCATCGTATTGGGCATCAAACACACGATTTGCGTGATGGTGACAACGTGTTGCGTCAAAGGGAGGTTTGCCGCACTGTCAAGACCTTCCCCCCGCGACCCAACATGTTGATGAGGAAAAAACAATGCTGCAAATGACATAGAAAACATGAAATGCAAGGGGTGGTGGGGAATTGAGCAAGCACAAACAACTGCATCAACCAGGTGAGACCTAGAACGCAGCTAAGCGGGTTAGGCAACGCGCACCCGAGCAAGCACAAACAATCCAAGGTGAGAACTAGCGCGCAGCAAAAAAGGAGAGGAGCAAGAATAAAAAACCAAAGCAACCGGGCGAGAAACAGCGTGCAGCCCAACTCCCAAGGAATGGCAAGAAGTTGCTTATTGATGCCTTATTGGTGTCAGTGTCATGTCCGATAGGTTGCGGTTGCTGCCTATCCCTTTGCGGGATCCCGCTACGCAAGATGAGACCAGGCTCTCAAGAGCCCTACGTCTTTGACCTGCCACTCAAGGAATGAGCAAAGCCATGAACTGAGCATCGGGCTGCTGAACATTGCCCTCCAAGATGAAGAGGCTGGCATTTGGGAACCTGGGCGCTTGGAAATCGGCAGGCAGACACCTTCGAGTCCAGAAATATAATATATGTATCAAATCAAAAACAAACAAACAAAAAAACCAAGAAACATGGTCGCGCTCGTTCTTCTGATCTGTCAAGGGGTCCTCCTTCCTTTTGGCAGGTGAATATTCGGAGAAAAAAATGCCGCTCTGGGAAGTCTTCTTGCCATGCCAGCAGCACCCAAGCGCGCAGTTGGTCACTCTACATGACATGCTTCTTCCATTCCTCTCGATGTTTGTATCAGCAGCACGCAAACTACCTCTATTCTTGGTTGGAAGAGTGCCCCCCCTCTAAACGAACCTTTGATGCTCCACATTTCTTCCGCGCAATTTCGGCTCCGAGACCAGCCTCTTCCAACTTGGCCTCCGGCCAGCGGAGCCAATCGTCGCTGCCGGCCACCATGCTGCGCGCCTGGCGCCGGCTCAGGTCTGGCCATCGGTCCGACAGCCGCCCCTCCGGCCGTTCGCGAAGCTTTCAGAGGGCAAACCGTGACCGTCCCGAGAATTCGAAATCACCTGAACGGTGCGCAAGTACACACACACACATTGTACAGGCACAACGGCAAGGACGCAGACCCCTCGCAAAGAAAGACATCCTGCAGTGCATCCAGAACAAGACGGGTCAGGCGCGCATACTGGGCCGAGCCTGGCGGCGAGAAAGGTTCACTCAGTGACAAGGGTGGAGCCTCTTTTTACCATCTCGATTTCGCTCTTTGCCCAACACACGCCCGAATCCGGCACCTTAGGTGGCGGCAACACCTCCGGAACTCATGGACAAAGAAGCTGAACTGGGGTTACAAGAACAGTGGCTTGGTCTACATCCCAGAAACCTACTTTCCGGAAGGCGCAAAGGACTAAAATCACGCCGGTTAAATCCATCCGCGTGCTGCGGCGGGAAGGCGTACGCCAAGTCGCGGCCCCATCTTGGGGCCGTCCTTTGTACACGTTCACCTCCTCGATCGAGAGCCAGCCCTGCCAGCCCTGCCATGTGCCGGATTTGGGCTCAAATGGTGTGCAAGATCAGGAAATCAACCAGGTCCCTAAAACCATCACAGATCGAGGCTTGTGCTGATATGGGGTGCAAGATCAGAAAATCAACCAGGTCCCTAAACAGATGGTGTGCAAGAACAGGAAATCAACCAGGTCCCTAAAACCATCACAGATCGAGGCTTGTGCTGATATGGGGTGCAAGATCAGAAAATCAACCAGGTCCCTAAACAGATGGTGTGCAAGAACAGGAAATCAACCAGGTCCCTAAAACCATCACAGATCGAGGCTTGTGCTGATATGGGGTGCAAGATCAGAAAATCAACCAGGTCCCTAAACAGATGGTGTGCAAGATCAGGAAATCAACCAGGTCCCTGGAACCAACACACATCGAGGCCTGTGCTGAGATGGTCTGCAAGATCAAACAATCCATCAAACATCGAGGCTTGTGCTGAGAAGGTGTGCAAGATCAGAGAATCAATCAGGTCCCTAAATCAATCACACATCGAGGCTTGTGCTGAGATGGTGTGCAAGATAAGAACATCAACCAAATCCCTAAAACCATCACACATCGAGGCTTGTGCTGAGATGCGCCAGATCAGAACATCAACCAGGTCCCTAAAACCATCACACATCGAGGCTTGTGCTGAGGTTGTGTGCAAGATCAGAGCATCAACCAGCCCCAAAACCATCACACATCGAGGCTTGTGCTGGGATGGGTGCAAGATCAGAAAATCAACCAGGTCCCTAAAACCATCACAGATCGAGGCTTGTGCTGAGATGGGGTGCAAGATAAAGAAAATCAACCAGGTCCCTAAAACCATCACGGATCGAGGCTTGTGCTGAGATGGGGTGCAAGATCAGAAAATCAACCAGGTCCCTTAAAACCATCACACATCGAGGCTTGTGCTGAGAAGGTGTGCAAGATCAGAGAATCAACCAGGTCCCCAAGACCATCACACATCGAGGCTTCTGCTAAGAAGGTGTACAAGATCAGAGAATTAACCAAGTCCCTAAAACAACCACACATCGAGGCTTGTGCTGAGATGATGTGCAAGATCAAAGAATGAACCAGGTCGCTAAAACCATCACACATCGAGGCTTGTGCTGAGATGGTGTGCAAGATCAGATCCCAAAAACGATCACACATCGAGGCTTGTGCTGAGATGGTGTGCAAGATCAGAGAATGAACCAAGTCCCTAAAACCACCACACATCGAGGCTTGAGAGAATCAATCAGGTCGCCAAAACCACCACACATCAAGGCGCGTGCTGAGATGGTGTGCAAGATCAGAGAATCAACCAGGTCCCTAAGATCATCACACATTGAGGCTTGTGCTGAGATGGTGTGCAAAATCAGATCCCTACAACCATCACACATCGAGGTTTGTGCTGAGACGGTGTGGAAGATCAGAGAATCAACCAGGTCGCCCACAAAACCACACATCGAGGCTTGTGCTGAGATGGTGTGCAAGATCAGAGAAACAACCAAATCCCTGAACCCATCACACATCGAGGCTTGTGCTGAGATGGTGCGCCAGATCAGAAAATCAACCAGGTCCCTAAAACCATCATACATCGCGACTTGTGCTGAGATGAGGTGCAAGATCACAAAATCAACCAGGTCCCTAAGATCATCACACATTGAGGCTTGTGCTGAGACGGTGTGCAAGGGCCATCACACATCGAGGCTTGTGCTGAGATGGTGTGCAAGATCAGAACATCAACCAGGTCGCCAAAAACATCAAACATCGAGGCTTATGCTGAGATGGTGCGCAAGATCAGAAAATGAACCAGGTTCCTAAAACCATCATCACACATCGAGCCTTCTGCTGAGATGGTATGCAAGAACAGAGAATCAACCAGATCCCTAAGAACGTCACACATCGAGGCTTGTGTATCAACCAGGTCGCCGAAACCATCACACATCGAGGCTTGTGCTAAGATGGTGTGCAAGATCAGAAAATCAACCAGGTCCCTAAAACCATCACGGATCGAGTGCTGAGATGGGGTGCAAGATCAGAGAATCAACCAGGTCCCTAAAACCATCACAGATCGAGGCGTGTGCTGAGATGGGGTGCAAGATCAGAAAATCAACCAGGTCCCTAAAACCATCACAGATCGAGGCTTGTGCTGAGATGGGGTGCAAAATAAAGAAAATCAACCAGCTCCCTAAAACCATCACGGATCGAGGCTGGTGCTGAGATGGGGTGCAAGATCAGACAATCAACCAGGTCCCTAAAACCATCACAGATCGAGGCTTGTGCTGAGATGGGGTGCAAGGTAAGAGAATCAACCAGGTCCCTAAAACCATCACAGATCGAGGCTTGTGCTGAGATGGGGTGCAAGATCAGAAAATCAACCAGGTCCCTAAAACCATCACGGATCGAGGCTTGTGCTGAGATGAGGTGCAAGATCAGAAAATCAACCAGGTCCCTAAAACCATCACAGATCGAGGCTTGTGCTGAGATGGGGTGCAAGATCAGAAAATCAACCAGGTCCCCAAGATCATCACACATCAAGGCTTATGCTGTGTGCAAGATCAGAGAATCAACCAGGTACCCAAAACCATCACACATCGAGGCTTGTGCTGAGATGGTGTGCAAGATCAGAACATCAACCAAATCCCTAAAACCATCACACATCGAGGCGTGTGCTGAGATGCGCCAGATCAAAAAATCAACCAGGTTCCTAAAACCATCACAGATCGAGGCTTGTGCTGATATGGGGTGCAAGATCAGAAAATCAACCAGGTCCCGAAAACCATCACGGATCGAGGCTTGTGCTGGGATGGGTGCAAGATCAGAAAATCAACCAGGTCCCTAAAACCATCACGGATCGAGGCTTGTGCTGAGATGGGGTGCAAGATAAGAAAAATCAACCAGGTCCCTAAAACCATAACGGATCGAGATGGGGTGCAAGATCAGAAAATCAACCAGGTCCCTAAAACCATCACGCATCGAGGCTTGTGCTGAGATGGGGTGCAAGATCAGAAAATCAACCAGGTCCCTTAAAACCATCACACATCGAGGCTTGTGCTGAGAAGGTGTGCAAGGTAAGAGAATCAACCAGGTCCCTAAGACCATCACACATCGAGGCTTGTGCTGAGATGGTGTGCAAGATCAGAGAATCAATCGGGTCCCTAAAACCATCACACATCGAGGCGTGTGCTGAGATGGTGTGCAAGATCAGACAATACATCACACATCGAGGCTTGCGCTGAGATGGGGTGCAAGATCAGCGAATCAACCAGGTCGCTAAGACCATCACACATCGAGGCGTGTGCTGAGATGGAGTGCAAGATAAGAAAATCAACCAGGTCCCTAAGACCATCACACATCGAGGCTTGTGCTGACATGGTGTGCAAGATCAGAGAATCAACCAGGTACCCAAAACCATCATACATCGAGGCTTCTGCTAAGATGGTGTACAAGATCAGAGAATCAACCAAGTCCCTAAAACAACCACAGTGCTGAGATGGGGTGCAAGCTCAGAAAATCAACAAGGTCCCTGAGATCATCACACATCGAGGCTTGTGCTGAGATGATGTGCAAGATCAAAGACTCAACCAGGTCGCTAAAACCATCACACATCGAGGCTTGTGCTGAGATGGTGTGCAAGATAAGAGAATCAACCAGGTCCCTAAACCATCACAGATCGAGGCTTGTGCTGAGATGGGGTGCAAGATCAGAAAATCAACCAGGTCCCTAAAAAAATCACGGATCGAGGCTTGTGCTGAGATGGGGTGCAAGGTAAGAAAATCAACCAGGTCCCTAAAACCATCACAGATCGAGGCTTGTGCTGAGATGGGGTGCAAGGTAAGAGAATCAACCAGGTCCCTAAAACCATCACGCATCGAGGCTTGTGCTGAGATGGGGTGCAAGATCAGAAAATCAACCAGGTCCCTAAAACCATCACAGATCGAGGCTTGTGCTGAGATGGGGTGCAAGATCAGAAAATCAACCAGGTCCCTAAAACCATCACGGATCGAGGCTTGTGCTGAGATGGGGTGCAAGAGAAGAAAATGGACCAGGTCCCTAAAACCATCACAGATCGAGGCGTGTGCTGAGATGGGGTGCAAGATCAGAAAATCAACCAGGTCCCTAAAACCATCACAGATCAAGGCTTGTGCTGAGATGGGGTGCAAGATCAGAAAATCAACCAGGTCCCTAAAACCATCACAGATCGAGGCTTGTGCTGAGATGGGGTGCAAGATCAGAAAATCAACCAGCTCCCTAAAACCATCACGATCGAGGCTTGTGCTGAGATGGGGTGCAAGATCAGAAAATCAACCAGGTCCCTAAAACCATCACGATCGAGGCTTGTGCTGAGATGGGGTGCAAGATCAGAAAATCAACCATCACGGGGATCACAGATCGAGGCTTGTGCTGAGATGGGGTGCAAGATCAGAAAATCAACCAGGTCCCTAAAACCATCACAGATCGAGGCTTGTGCTGATATGGGGTGCAAGATCAGAAAATCAACCAGGTCCCTAAAACCATCACGGATCGAGGCTTGTGCTGAGATGGGGTGCAAGATCAGAAAATCAACCAGGTCCCTAAAACCATCACGGATCGAGGCTTGTGCTGAGATGGGGTGCAAGATCAGAAAATCAACCTGGTCCCTAAAACCATCACAGATCGAGGCGTGTGCTGAGATGGGGTGCAAGATCAGAAAATCAACCAGGTCCCTAAAACCATCACAGATCGAGGCTTGTGCTGAGATGGAATGCAAGATCAGAAAATCAACCAGGTCCCTAAAACCATCACGGATCGAGGCTTGTGCTGAGATGGGGTGCAAGATCAGAAAATCAGCCATCACAGATCGAGGCTTGTGCTGATATGGGGTGCAAGATCAGAAAATCAACCAGGTCCCTAAAACCATCACGGATCGAGGCTTGTGCTGAGATGGGGTGCAAGATCAGAAAATCAACCAGGTCCCTAAAACCATCACGGATCGAGGCTTGTGCTGAGATGGGGTGCAAGATCAGAAAATCAACCAGGTCCCTAAAACCATCACGGATCGAGGCTTGTTCTGAGATGGGGTGCAAGAGAAGAAAATCAACCAGGTCCCTAAAACCATCACGGATCGAGGCTTGTGCTGAGATGGGGTGCAAGATCAGAAAATCAACCAGGTCCCTAAAACCATCACAGATCGAGGCTTGTGCTGAGATGGGGTGCAAGATAAGAGAATCAACCAGGTCCCTAAAACCATCACGGATCGAGGCTTGTGCTGAGATGGGGTGCAAGATAAGAGAATCAACCAGGTCCCTAAAACCATCACGGATCGAGGCTTGTGCTGAGATGGGGTGCAAGATCAGAAATCAACCAGGTCCCTAAAACCATCACGGATCGAGGCTTGTGCTGAGATGGGGTGCAAGATAAGAGAATCAACCAGGTCCCTAAAACCATCACGGATCGAGGCTTGTGCTGAGATGGGGTGCAAGATAAGAGCATCAACCAGGTCCCTAAAACCATCACGGATCGAGGCTTGTGCTGAGATGGGGTGCAAGAGAAGAGAATTAACCAGGTCCCCACAACCAAAACCATCCACAATTCCAGGCTCTCAACGCCATCTTCGCATTTAGGGGGGAACTCCCATCATCCCCCAGCGCCGTGCCTGGAACGCTTCGGCATGGTGGGCTGAGTCCTCGGCCAGACTCGCGCGACTCGCGCTGCGCGCCACGCGCCGGACGTCCGGCCATGGCCCGGCCGAGGCCCCGGCTCGGCCGCCACCGCCGTCCAATCCTCTCCGCGCAGCGAGTGGTGTGGCCACACCTCACACGAAGCGGTCGGGCGGAAGCTGGGCTTCGGGGAGGGATGTGGTTTGGTTTTTTTGAAGAGGGAGAAGGGATGTGTTTGTTGTAGTTTTTCTTCTTTTTGGCAGAGGGAAAAAGCTTTTTGCTTCAATCAGCGGGCTCCTTCCCAAACAAGTCGCGCTCGCTTTCTGAGCCCTGAGTCGCATTCCCAGCACGCTCCCTCCTCTGCTTGGCAAGCGCTCGCCTGTGTCGCACCCGGGAAATTGAGGGCACGGCCATGTCCAACCGGCGCCAATTGTGGTCCGGCCTGAGCCACTGGCCCCAGTCGATTCGACTGACACACTGTACATTCCACAGCAGGTGTTCTTGAAGCTGCCGAGGGCCTTTCAACCAAAAAAAGCAGCTCCATTTGCCTTTTCGGCGCCAGGGCCGCGGCTCTGGCGGCGGCGGCTGGCGAAAGCGCGTCCGTGCCCTGGGGGGCAGTGCAGCAAACACATCTGAGGAATGTCCTGTAGGCCTTTAGGCTTTTAGGCCCAGACTGTGTTGCAAGAAGCTATAGTTTGAGAGTGGAATGCACCAATGCAAGGCAAACACTGCAGAAAAGCTGTTTTATGGCCGGAACCGAAGGCACCAATGCCCAGAAATCTGGAGAGCGCCTGCAACTGGGAACCTTCTGCTGAGGATGGCGCTTCCACATGAGTCTGGCACGCTCATGTGCATCTGGCAGCCTGATGCCGAGAGGCAAGCAGCGCTATGTGGCTTCCAACTCAGCTCAGAAAACAGTGTGCTTGACAATATGCTGCCATGCACATGCACACGAGAGATATTGCTCCAACCCTCAGCTTACCCGACTTGTGGGGCATTCTCTCGTGCAGGCCTTGTTGTGTTTGTCTATGCTCAACAGGTTGCTTATGAAAAAACGGCAAGCCCATCCATCCTGTATAGTATGCACCACGCTATCATGTCAACTACAACAACAAATATGTCCCTTGTCCAAAGGCCAATTCAATGTTTCTGGCAGTTGCTCCCTTCCAGCTAAGCGACATGATCTGGTCTGCGGTCCGATGGCGACACCGCATCTCCTGGCAGCTTCCGTCCCCCCGAGGTCCGAGAACATAGGGACTTCATGCCAACGCGCTCTATCCAGTCGTCCAATCTCTTTGTTTGACACTCTGGAAATCCTATGGCCAAGGGGCAATCTCCCCCTCGGGCAAGTCTTTGTTCGGAAGCCAAAGAAGAATGGCAAAACCAAGGAAAAGACCTCAGACCCGTCAATGGGCTACAACCCCAAGGGGCCGGTCCCCGTCGGAGCTCATCACCCCCATGGAGAGGTGCGCTTGCAGCACGTCCAGCCGAAGGTCCTGAAGGGCAACCAAACCGTAACTCGATCCACGACCACGTGTTTTTTTCTTTCCTGAACTTGGACAGATGAAGTGGCGAATCCGCCCAAAGTGGAGAGGCTTGAGAAACTTCAGCCTGTCAGCCTCAGAAGGATCCCAGCATTGAAAACAAAAAAAGCATGAAAACGGCCAGCCGCGCCCATATTTTAGTGCGAAACGTCTTGGAAAGATTGGATCTCAGGAGCTTTCGATGCGCCATGGCCCAGGTTTCAGCCTGGCCCGTCGACTCCTCGGCCTGGAAGCGCGAGCCAGTGTCTTCCACCTGACCCGCCGGCGAGATTCGGAAGTCCCCGTGGCCCCGGTGGCCCAAAAGTTGAGTCGCGCTCAAAACCGATCGGTGTTAAAATGGTCCCAGGATGATGTAAAGAATTCGGAGGGCGGCAACTATTGGTTGGGACTGGCCCTTGCTAACCTTCGCTTGCCCGAGTTTCGATTGTGACTCATTTGCAAATCATTGTGCACACCCCACGGTGAACTACACATGTTCACACAAATAAAGGCGGGGTGTTGCAGGTCAATAGTCCCAAGCTCTTGCGAGGCCAATCGAGACACGAGTTCGGAGGGCTGGAAAGGCATCTGGTGAGTTCTGTGGCACCTGAATTCTCAATCCTTCCAGTCCCGAACCGGTGGATGCAAACCTGCATGATGAACATCTGGTGGCATTTTGGAAAGACTGAACCGTGTCATTGCTCAGAGTCTCAAGATCTGGAACTCATCCGAGCCAGACAACTTGCATAATATTGTATCTCAATAGCTTGGCGCCAAGGAGCAGAGCAAATGACCCATGAAGTAAGTCTTCTCTCATTGGCTATGGCAGGGCACGTGCCAGGAGGAGAACAAACAAGACAAAGTCTGGTGAGACTTGACCAGCCAGTGGGAGCTAAATGAGCCACATCTTTTGAGAAAGCGCTTGAGATCACTTGTGTATCACTAGGCTTGCAGAGTTTGCCTAGTTCCTGGTCTCACACCTCACAGTTACCAAATCCACTGACAAACCGGGCCCTCCTTGCCTGGATGTACTGCATGCCCTGGCCCGTCACTTCCACGGCTTTCTGGTACAGCTTTGGCATGTTGTAGCGTGCCGCGATCTGTGGATTGCCAAGCGCACCGCACAGTGTGGGAGTACGTCCAAAATTAGGGGCCTACGCATTCTCAAGGAAGCGACAAGAAACCAACAGAAAACCAAACATTGGGAGGCATCCTCCATTTTGACCCGCAGTGCCGCTGCGCGACTCATGGCTGCTCGGGACCTTCCAACCGCAACCTTTGGACAGGGTGCGCCCATACAAAACCTGCCTGCCCTCAATGCTTACAGCCTCCTTCCCCCCCCCCCCCCCCGCCCCTTGGCTTGGACAAACACATCTGGCTTGTCATTCTTTGCAGGGAGGAAAGAGGCCTCGCAACCCCACGCATGGGGAAGTCCTAGCACATGTGCTGGTAAGCCCTTCTTCCAATGGTGCAATCCGAGAAGATCTGCCCATTCCTGATTTACTTGTGGCAAGGCAAAAGTGATTTGCCCAAACCAAGGGATCGGTGAAATTGTATGTGACTATTGCAACCATTGGCTCATCACCTTTGTTTTGCTTCGGATCTATCAACCCAGAATACTAGGGCGTGTCCCCACCGCACCCCAAAAAAACAACTGATCAACCAATTCATGAATCCTGCCGTTCCATTCTTCGCCAAATAAAAATTTGCATTCTCCTTGAGGGCTGTTGTCGGCTTGCGTTTTCGGGCAACCCCTCAGGAGAAAAACAAAAACAAACAAAAAAGCCCTCCGTCCCCAAAACTCCGCCCATGGCTGTGGCCTCCAGCACCTCGTCCGGGCTCAAATCGATCGCCTCGCGGCACCGGGGGTCCAGCAGGAAGGCCTCGCACCTGGCGTCCGGCTCGGTTTTGGGGTTGGAGCAAGAGGTCCCTTGGGATGACATGTCCTTAAGCCACCAAAAGATATGCCGGGCCCCTTTTTCTTTGAGTTGGAGCCATGGTGGTCTTCCTGTTGGTGTCCCTCGAAAACCAACCGAGAAGGGATACCCGCAAAAAATGACGCCCATTTCCCACACCCGAAAAGCTAATTACATGTGGTCATTGGGCAGAGTATTGATCAACCCCCATGTGTCTCTGTTCCTGAAGCGTGCAGGCAACACTGACCACGGATGTGCTCGACGCCGAACTCCTTCAGGCGTGTGACTGTCCAAGAAATCAAGATCAGGAGGCAAGAGCAACTTCAATGCGGACATTTGGGCCGAAGACAGGTTCAAACTGATAGCCATCGAAGCCATCGAAGCCAAAA